TATTTATGTCGTAACTGAAAAACGCCATAAAGAGAATGAAAATGAATGAGTTCTCTCCCATGTATAAATTTGTCGACAGATTCTCTTTTTTCTTGCATCTCATCGTTTCCAATTTCCAATTTCCATCCTTGTTGTGTTCCTCTCTTTGACTTCCCCAAAACACACGTATTACGTATATACATATACTATTCTCTGTTGTAGAACTTGCTAGAACGTTCATCGGAGATGGCCTCGCCGCTGGAAGAGCAGCGAAATCGAGAGGATTCGCCGGAGACCAAAGAAATGTTACATAAGACGAAACTAATTCAATTTTTGGGGAGGAATACTCCGATTATCCTTCAAAACGATAATGGACCTTGCCCTCTCCTCGCTATCTGTAATTATCCACCTCTCTTTTTCAACTCTTTCTAGGGTTTGTTGATTTACCCAAGAGTTTCCTTTAGAACAGTTTAAGTTGTTAATTAGGAAACGATCGTCAGTTTATTTAAATTGTAGATGATTTTGACAGTGACGTGAAGAAATTAGGCCGGTGTTATGGAAAAGTTTGCAGGATTATATGAGACAATTATCTGCAGTGTTTTCTTGATGATATTTTAGTGGTTAATTAGGTAATAAACATCAGTTTTTCAGTTTGTAGGGACCTCAGTCATTATTTCTCAAATTTTTAGGTGTGAATCAAGATTGAAGCTCAGGCATTAACCATACTGTTTATTATGAGTCGAGGTACTCTTATTAGCAAGCAAATACTGATTTCGATTGAACTCTGTTTGAGAAAAAAATTATGTTGTTTCCTATTGATCGTGACTGAAACATCTTCTCTTCTTCTTTTGTTTCCTATGAAGTATGAAGCTTAATAACTAATGCAAAATCAGTCATTAGGTTAATTCTTGATCTGGAAAAACAAATGTTTTCTTGGATTCGTGTTTCCTTCAGTCGTCTTCTGGAACATAAGAGTTTCAAGTTTCATTTTGATGATCAATGTGTGCAATTTGTGTTAGGTAATGTTCTATTGTTGAGAAACAATATGAATCTGAGCTCAGATGTAGGTGAAGTGTCACAGGAGAAATTGCTTTCACTAGTGGCAGAGAGGTTAATCGATTCAAACAGCAATGTTAATGTAATCTTCTTCTTCTTCTTCTTTTCTTTTTGATCACATTGTTAGCCTTTAACAGCCCATCAACCGCATAATTGATTTTTTTTAATTGGGGTACAGAATAAAGATGCAGGGTATGTTGAAAATCAGCAACAAAACATAGCTGATGCCATTGATTTACTTCCCCGATTAACAACTGGCATTGATGTCAACTTAAAATTCACAAGGTATCTTCTTTTTAAATCATGCTGCATGATGTTCCCTTACCTCTTATAGCCTTAAACTTAATACACACACACACTATCAAATTGGTGCAGAATTGATGATTTTGAGTTCACAAGAGAGTGTGCAATATTTGATTTATTAGACATCCCACTTTACCATGGTTGGATTGTTGATCCACAGGTATGTTCTCTTAGGGCCTGTTTCTTTTTTAGTCTGAATAAACTGTCTAAATGACCATTTTACCCTCTCTGTTATAAGATCAAACATCTGCATGTAATATGAGCATGTTTGTTTTCCATGCATCTGTTGCAGGATTTTGATACTTCTAGTGCGATTGGGTTAAAGTCGTACAATACAATAATGGGAGAACTCGTTGCCCTTGAAACTCAAAATGTGGCAAATGACATAAATAACCCTGAAGAAGATTGTGTTGATTTTGTAGCTGCAACAACAGCAAGTTTAGGTGTCCCTTCACCATCCCTTTCCAGAGTTAAATCTTTTGATGATTCTCCCCATTCTGTTTCTGATGAGAAAAAGGAAAGAAAAGGTGACCTTCAAGAGGAAGAAGAGCTATTAAAAGCTTTGCAGCTATCAGTGACCAACAGTCCAACTACAATTGAGAGTAAAACTGATTCCGATCTCAAAACTCCGGAATCAGTGATTCCAGAGAAAGTACATACTGGTGCTGAACATGAAAATGAAAAAGCCTTGAAGCTATCAGAGACTGAAAGTCTAACTACAGCTGTGAATGACATTGATTCCGATCCCAAAAAGCCGGAATCAGTGATTCCGAAGGAATTACATACTGGTGAAAACAATGAGTCTTGTATACAAAAACATTCTACAGATAATGATAACAATGGAATGAACAATTCCAATGATGATTTAACTTTTGAAACAGTTCCAAGTCAAGAAGCTTGTTCTTCTTCACAAGGGGATAATGATAAAATCCATAATACTGGAGATGAAAAGATACATCATGATGAATCAGTAAAGGGCAATGATGTAAATGTAGAAGGAAATGTTGAAAGTGTTGGTGAGACATTGGATGATATGTCATCATGCTTATCTGCACCTATTCCAGGTTTAGAATCATCAAAGGGCAATGATGGAATTTCCTCAATTGATGAGTCAAAGGCGTTGACTTCAAGTGAACCGATTTATGAAGGTGAGGAACATATACAGGAGACGAGTACTACTGCAAATTATGAAAATGGAGAGCCGATGTATGAAGGTGAGGTGGTTTTAGCAGAACAAGTGGACAAGGGCAAAGATGGAATTACTCCAAAACAAGGTAAGACTTTATTACTTTATTTAGTTAAACATTTGCTTTAAAACAATCAATTAATGTGTTTCTTTTTTATAATTAGGGGAACTGATCAGGAATTTTCTCAAGAATAGTGCTAGTCAGTTGACTATATATGGGTATATTTTATCTTGTGTATTAAGTCATTAATATTTGTTTTTTTTGTTATATATCATTAATATTTGTTTTTTTAATGGTTGCAGGTTGTTTTCATTGCAAGAAGGTCTAAAAGAACGTGAACTTTGTGTGTTTTTCAGGAATAACCACTTCAACACAATGTTTAAGGTTGGTTTAAAACATAAAAATAAAATTATTATATATTTTGTGGATATATATAAACTGATGAAGTTATTTGCAGTTTGAGGGTGAACTATACCTTTTAGCTACGGATCAAGGGTATATTAGTCAACATGATTTGGTATGGGAAAAGCTTAATGAGGTATTATAATTTATAGTTTTCTTCTTCTTCTTTAGAATGTAATAACTCATTCCATTCAATTGATGATTCCATTCCATGTATTATATTTATAGGTGAATGGAGATTCAGTGTTTATGACTGGTAATTTTAAGGAATTCAATGCTGAAAGTCAGGAATCCCACTCGTGGGATGAACAGAATGCATTGGCTAATACAGCTGTATGTAGCCTTTTCAATTATTTATATATTTTCATTAATTTTTGTGGATATTATTTATTATCAAGTTAATATATTTTTTGTATTTCAGGACTATCTTGCAAGCATTGACAATTCACCACAAGAGAACACGGGTTTTAAGTAATTTTATCTACCTTTTCTTTTGTTATTAATTTCCATTTTAATATATAAAGAAAAATAAAAATCAATTTTTTTTGGTATCACAGCTCTGATCTGCAATTGGCTATAGCTCTTCAGCAACAAGAATTTGAGCAACAGCAACAACAACAACAGCCACCACAACCACAACAACCACGCAATGACACAGCTGGAGAGTCGGGGTTTGTTACAGGTCCCCAGGTAAATGACCGTTTTACCCCTACATTCCAAAAAAACAAATTTTACATTAATTATAATAACAATTACAATCTGATTTACATGTAGCATGTGCAGCCATCAAGGCCAAAGAGTTCATCTTCATCTTCATCATCGAAGCAGGAATCAAAGTCATCAAAGGAGAAGTGCACTGTGATGTGAAGAATTGGAGGTTTGTTTTGTAAATGTGAAGAATTGTAATTTCAACGTGGTTTTAAGTTTTAACATTTCCAAACATTCAAAGTTTGATTTGTTCATGCATGTCATATATGAAGATTATTTACCTTTTTTCATTTTGTTGTAAAGGAAGTTTTTCTAACATAGCTTCTTAGTTTTCTTTAGTGTAAATTACATGAATCGTACCTGTGGTTTGGGGTAATTTGTGCATTTTATCCCTAAACTCTTTTTTATTTTTTTTAAACTCGGACAGTCCCTATTGTATGTTTTTGTTGCAGATTTGGTCCTTCCGAAAGATTAAATGACTGTTAATTTGTGAATGCTTGTGATACCTGTTGTTTTAATGGTAAATAGTTTTTTTTAGAAAATGATTCCCAACCTCAATCCATGGTTCTGATTTTGATAATTAGGGATTTATGTGCTTTTTGGTTTCCTGTGATTTTTGTTTATGGGTGAGTAAGGAAGGAGGATGGAGAGTTTATGTTTATTGACACGGAAAAGACATTAAAAACAAGACATCGTATTTACAAATTCTGGCAAATAGAGTGTCAAAGTCACCAGAGAAGTCGGAGACAAGATAGTGGGGAGGGGTAGAGTTGGATCATGGTTCCATGGAGTTGGATATGGGTTTGTGGGACCCTATTATTTTACCAATTCGTAGATATTAATAATGAGAAATTAAATTGCTTCTTACTTTTATGTTTACAAATATTCCTAATAACATTATGATATGTATCATCATTTCACCATTCAATTTAATATGATTTGATATATATTCCTAATATGCTCTTAATGAGATAGTTAAAAAAATATGGAATGGTGACACTTGTAATAATATTAGTGGGTAGAAATATTTGTAGGTATAAAATATAGGAAGTAATTTAATTTTTCATTAATAATACAATAAAATACAATAAAAAGGTGAAAAGAAATAACATTAAGGGTAATATAGTCATTTCAAGTCGGTTTTGTAGAGACTAAAGACGCAACAAAACAATATAATAAGAGTTGTCTGAGTTAAAAAAAAAAAGGGAAATCTCCATAAAAGTCCTAAACTTTTGGAAAAAATTTCATTTTAGTCCAAATTTGAATAAAAAACCTAGGTGACGTAGAGTGCTAAGGTGGAAAATAAAATGATAACATTAAAGGAAGAAGAGGCATGTCCCCAAGGGTTGAACTCATGACCTCTAAATGAATCACACATGTGCCCTTACCACTATAGATCATATACACTTTTGTGATATTATGGCTGATTTCCTTTATATATCGCTAATACCACTGAACAAAGAAAAAAGAGTTAAGGGCCAAACATGCATGTTACAGTAAACCACCGGGACAATTGGTATAATTTACTCTTTTTTTAGGCTATGGGGAGTCGCTCGTCAAAGACCCTCGCTAAGCATAAGGAATACCGCCCCTAGCTCTGGCTAGGGGGCTCGCCAAGATTGCTTTGCTACGGGTATAGCAAGAGGAGAGAGAAAAGAGTGCTTGCTTCCAATTTGACCGGATTGGTTGTGACTATTTTTTTTTTCAAAACAAAACCTATTAAATTCCTCACGTTACCACTCCTATCTTTTTGAACCTATATGCTAAGCTTATGTGGCAATAAAAAAAACCTATGTGGCAATAAAAAATGATGTGGTAAAATGATAGGAGTGTTACCATTCCCTCTAGCCTTATAATTGCATGAATAACTCAATATATATATATATATATATAT